ATTATATATTAATATTAATATTAATTAATTAATAATTATTAATAATATTAATTCATTCATGACTGCATATGAACAATACAATCAGATATTTCGTGAATACATTCATTACATGACAAGTTGGTAAAAATTTGCGAAATTCATGAGATATCTATCATATCTCTGTTTTATGTAATAATTTGAAATACTCGAATGTGAAACATAGTACGATTATGTTAATTAAAATTGTATAATGATAATAAATAGATCCACATAATTAGCGTTCTATTTAATGAACATTAAGTTCAACATTAATTTTGCCAGAAGTAATTACTTGCGTCCAATAATAATAAAAACAAAAAATTTGATATCACTCATTTGATTCGAAAGATTTGGTAATTCTAGTGTTAAATATTTAAATATTCTAAACTCTAAAATTTTCCTAAGAACGAATATGTAATAGTTGCAGTGTTCTAAGATACTGGTAGTCATTTTAACACTAGAACTATCGATCTGTAATATGTACCTAAATACAATGCATACAAATAATATTAATTAAAGTAATATAACGAAAATAAATAGGTATATAACAACCTTTCTATATCAAAAATCAATATATTTTTGCCAAAAGCAGTTATATGCTTCGAATAATAGCAGATTCAAAAATCTGGAACCTTCTATTTGTTAGTCGTGAATATTATATTTTAAATAAATATAATAAATATTCATTGAACAATATTATAGCACAGGGTAAAAATTATCGATGAAATATATCTAATTGCATTTATTCCTTCTCACGATACTCATACACACGTTTTCTCTCAATTAATTCTAAATTGCAACTGACCTACCCAACTACTCTCTCATATGTTCTCTTCTCTTTCATCACATAAATTTATACAGTTTACTTCATTCATTACACGCATACTCGATCTACTCATTCTTTCTTACAAGTATCATTTATTTTTACATCAATATACAGTAGCTTACAAAAATATTCGAACGCTCTACAAATTTTAACACTTTGCCGGCCACTCACTTCTCGCATCGCCTGTACGCTGCCACCGACGAATTTCACGTGGGTTCTATTGCTCGTTGACGGTCATATTTACACTATCCTTCGTACATGCGGTATAGTTATTATTAAAAATGGCACTAAGATCTGAGACTAACAGAACAAGCATCTGCTTAAAGAATGTCAAGAAAAGATAATCGGAACAGTTAAAACAGAAGCATAGTGGAAGCATTGTACCGCGCTGAACTGAAGGACACGCGTACGTGACAGTGGCCAATAACCGTTGGCGAGAAAATGTCACGCCTCTGTTTGCAACGGGACTAGTTTGCAACGACGAAAAATAAAAATAACTATGTCTCTATACGAGATACCATCCGTAGAGTAGGTATACCGTAAGACAAGTGACACGTATTTAGAATTCGAGAAGAACTGACTTTATTTAATATTTGGGATATACAGTGCTGGACAAAAGTATTGGCACAGCATGGTTGTTGTGGTACAAGTGCCTATAACTACTAAACAAATTGATTTGAAGGAAAAACTTTTTGACATATTCATTTATTATCTATTTTTATTATCTATTATAGATAATAAATAAATATGTCAAAAAGTTTTTCTTTCAAATCAATTTGTTTAGTAGTTATAAGCACCTGTACCACACAATCATGCTGTACCAATACTTTTGTCCAGCACTGTATATATTCTTGCTATCTTACGCTAGGTGGTTTGGAAGGGGTTGTATTGTGGAGTTTGAAGGTTTGGTCATCGGATGGTGATTCGTATTAGCTGTCGTCACAGGGTTGCGTCTTGGAATTTGGAACTGTAGTTATCTGCTGATTCATGTTGGAATTTGGAGTCTTCCTTATTTATCTTTCCTTACTTATCATGGGATGTCGTCACAATCTAGTATTAAAATATTTAGTTAATTTACAAAATAAACAAAATATTTAGTTAATTTACAAAATACACAATTTAGTTAATTTACAGAAATATTTTCAACCGTAACACATTCCTAAGAACGATTGTGTGGAAAGCAAAGTTTCACACGATAAGAACAAAATTCCACAAAACTGTTAGCCACATTAAAGGGGAATGAAATCTGATCTGGAATCATGAAACTGAACTCGCAGTTATACATTCGACTTCTTCTGAGGCTTTGTGTCTGTACCGAGAAAGGAGGCTTCGAGTATAATTCTCACCGATTGCAACGAAATTTCACCAGATATTAAAAAGCTTAGAAATTTATGTCTACGTGTAATATATGATTATATACATATATCTCGTGCAGAATAAAAATTTTCTTACCTCGCATGTTTCAGAATTTTCGATGAATCACCTTGCTCCTTGTTTTCTTAGGGTACATGCCACAAGGAATAATCCAGTAAAGGCTGTATTTAAAGTTCTTACTGCAGGTTCATTGTACTCGTGGTAAGCTACAAACAAACTAAATTTCTAAATACTACTTTATCCCGTTATGGCTTCTATCGTTTCGATCATCTCCTATACGAACGTTTATTCACTACTGATCTATAGACGTGGTAGACAGTTGTGTTAAAGTTGGGGTATTCAGGTTGATAAATATTTCCAGGTAAACATCCTGTTAGAATGTATGCGTGATTTGAAGGGAAAGCAGAGTGTTTGTGTTTGTACGTGTATATATATTCGCCACTAGATTGAGGCACGTGTCCGCTCCCACCACTGATTATTGCAGTGTTGCCGATCGTTAACTTCTCGAGCGTTCTATGGGTACAATGCCGGTGATTCTATGTGAAAAAAACAAATCGAAAATAAAGAATAAAATTTTTAGATTCGAAGCTTCGTTATCGAGAAAATCGACTTTGAATATTCACCCAGTATACATACATTTAGATATAGCTGAGATGTATGGATCATCAATATATCAGTATCAGCGGTATAATCGAGGAGAGGGTGATTCTATGTGAAAAACCAAATCGAAAATAAATAATAAAATTTTTCCATTTGAAGCTTCGTTATGGAGAAAATCGACTTTGAATATCCATTGAGTACGCTGGTATATTAACACATTGAATGCCATGGGGGTTACCGATGACCGGCACTCAACTTGGCGGTGGCGCCACGGGGGCCACCGGTGACCGGCACACCCAGATTGATAGAAATATATATAATTTAAACAAATGTCAATATTTAGAAATTTTTATTATTACCATCGTTAATTCAATGGTGACCCCCGTCGCAATTAACATGTCAAACATGGTTATACATTGTAACTTATCTATTGCAAATAATATTTCAACATTATATGTATCGCATAATAGAAAATTCATCGTGGCGCCACGGGCAATCCCTGCAAAACTGGCGTAGTATTCAACGTGTTGATAATCCTATCCGCCTTAAGTATAGCTAAGTGCACACGTACCTAGTAAATATTCAAAGTTGATTTTCTCTACAACGAAGCTTCGAATGAAAAAATTTTATTCTTTATTTTCGATTTGTTTTTTCATGTAGAATCTCCCTCTCCCCGATTGTACCACCGATACTCATATATTGATAAACCATAGCTAAGTGCACGCGCACTAGGTGCATATTCAAAGTCGATTTTCTCGAAAATAAAATAAAAAAATTTTATTCCATTTTTTCTATTCGTTTCTACATATAGAATCACCCTCTTCCTGGTTGTATTATCTCTGCTGGGACACCCTGTATAATACATAGGTATATATGTCAGTGATTATGAAAATGGTCTACGTCGTGTACTTTTGGTTTCGAACTATTGAACGTTTCGTGTTTGAAATATGTTAAAAATGAACACAGTTAATTATGAGATTGGACCTAACGACCTGACGGTTCAATTCTTCGCTATTTTGCTAAGCTTTATTTTATTACAATTTATTTTTAATTTTTATTTTTGTTTTATCGTAATGTAAACGAATGCAATCCAAAATAAGCGATAAAGTTGTTTCTTTTGAATTCGTAACTTAGACCACTTTCATAATTATTGGCACATATGTATGTTTGTACAAACCGATAAATGTGTGTGTACACGCGTGCGCGCGCGTGTGTGTAATAAATAAACAAAGTGATGAATGGTTAAAAAAAGTTTATAAATGCTACAGTTTCAGACTTTTATCAAACCATTTTGGTAAATGCTAAGATTTTTAAAAGAGCTTTGTAATAGTAATAATAAAGAATATTTTAAAACTTGCTTACTCGAAGACGTGCTCAAACAAAACGAACTTTTACCAATTGGTGACTGAAAAATTTGAGATGATTTGGTAAAAGCATGAAATGGGAGTGCTTGCAAGTTGTTTTTGAATTTTTACAACCTGTCTATGGTAAATTCTAGAATTTACCAATCTTCAAACTTTTATGATAATACATACATACATTACGTATATATTTTTCAAGATTATATTATTTTACAAATTATTAACATTTTGTCAGTTAGGAAAATTTATATGCATAATATATAAAATATTTATACAAATCGATATAAAGCACGAAGAAGACACACAGAGACACGTTTACTTAAAAGTATGTTATACTGAAAAATTAAAAATATTTCGAGTTATCTTTGACTTTGTAGATATTTTTAGGAAATTTCAACTATCTGTAATGATGATCGTAGAATTTAATATGACGCTTTTAAGTCAAATCAATTTTAGCAGCAATTGACGTTATCATTTAAAGAAGAATAAGAGTAGAATTTCCTGTGGGAATTTTCCTTAGGTTGGATGTTGCATAACTGGGAAATTGGCTTGCAAAGTGATTGGATTTTATCGAGATAAAATATTGAAACATCTTTCAGACTTTTTGACATAATATTTATACAAATTGAAGATTACAAAATTTATACATAAAATATACGTATATATATCTTTCTATTCTAACAGTCCTTTCAAATATAGAGATATGTGTTATTTACAATAATTTTATAAATCTAATAGTGGATAAAGAATTCGAGGTAAAAATGATAATATATAATTTAAAGTTGTATTGCATATTATAATAAAAAAGAACTTAAATAATATTTTCTAATTTTGTTATATCAAAATTGAACACAATGATACATGTATCTGATAAAGTGCTCGGACATTACAATTAAAGATAACATTTTAATGTGGTATTACCTGGATAAGAGCCGCACCAAAATTATTTATGGTTACCTAACTAAAAAATGGCATCTTCCTTATATTTTTTATCATATTTTGTTACAAAAGAAATAATATTACATTAAGGATAAGCAAGACATTCGAAACTTACGTGATTGGATAACAACAGATAAATGCAATAATTTCAAATATTCAATAAGTCACTCATAAGTACAAATTTTTATTTTCTTGTTTTTTATTAAATTTTCATGGAACTATTATCAATGGATTGTAACGTTGTCCAGATAAAAGTTTGTTGCTTTTATTGTTTATAACATTAATAGTTACTATGTATACTTTTGTACTTTAGAATTATAATCAAATCAAATTAAATACATTTCTTTATGTATAATTAAAATTTATAATTAATTGAAATAACTCATAGAATATCAGTAATTATCTTTTTCATCAGTTATCGATCAAGTATGCAAAGTCCAAATATTGAACGTTATTGCTCACGCTCAATAAAAAACAAAATAAATGAATTTGATTTTATAAAAATTTAATCGGAATTGAAAAAGTAATACTTATCCAGCTAGTACTGTCTTATTTTACAATTACTCCTAGTTTATATAGTTATTATCTGTGCATGTTCATAGTTTATATAATTGTTATAATGCCCATGCCTACTTTTTTTCTTTCTTTTCTTCATTTTCTTTTTTCGCTGCTTCTTAAACGCTGTTGTATTTATTACTTAAACTTAAGAAGTACGTTAAATGAAGAATAGATATAACGCTTGACATATATGCCGCTACGTCCTCTTCCTTCATTGTCTTTAATTGCGCCACAATCGAATGGTATACTCGATTAGCAGTTTTTGTAGATAACTGACCTATGGTTTGTACTGCATGCAAAACTCTGTTCTCATCAGCGGACACAGGAACTATAACATGAATTACACATCTTAGAAGTATACCCAGATAGAACGTATTTAAACAGATATTTTGTTAGACGTTTATAAATACATACCAGGTGCAACCTCTTCCCCTTCGACTGGAGGGAAATAACGATCCAATAAACCGTTAATGAGAACGCTAGTATTATCGACACTTTGTACTGCCATATTACCATATTGCGTGTTTAACAATTCATTCGCTTTTGCTATACTGACTTCTTTGAGCGTAGATGCTTGTTGCGTTGCTGATTCTTTTAGAACATATAATTTATCAATCGTTGGTTGCAAAGAGCTGTTCATTACCGCCTTGGCTGCGTCATAAATCTACATAAATTAAATTAATTTATTATTACATAAATATGTCTGGAAACTCCAAACGATCAAAACCTTAAGATTAATATACTTAGTCAATAAATCAATGATTAAATAGGAGGTCTATTTACAAAAATAGACGATTAATGAATAATTATAAAATAAAAATACAAGATTATACTTGCTTAAATAAAATTTCCACGGTTATTTATTTTGTCGAAACGCGTACCTGTAGACAAGTACAGTTTTATAAAGAAAATTCAGATTTTAATTATTTATACTTGTAGTTTATGTATATAATGATTAATGAACTGTACAAATTTCACAATAAAATGTGGATTGCTAATGTTACATAGAAAAAAGTACAAGGTATTTTACATAATAAATTATGCAGCGTGTTCGATACAGGAAGAAATAACACCGGATAATTGAGACTATAAATTACTAATTTTCATAGTATTAAGTCTTTACAGCATTAATTTATTCTTTTTTTTAATTCAATATTTTATTAATTTGCATTTACACCTCATTATTTAATGAAACTATGTATTTCTTTTTATATTAGTAACATTTATGTATAATTGTGGTGAGTATCAAAATCATTGATTTCAACAAAATAATTTTTAGTAGATAATTTTGTGTGGTTTCTGAAACGAAACTAAGCAAATGCAGCATATAGGAACATTTATACAAATACATTATATTTCACAAAATATTTAATACTAAAATTTTCAAAAATAAATTTGCATCTTAATTATATGTAAATTAAAAAATTATAGTGTTTTATAGTAATAGAAATCATGATATATTAATTTTGTAATTTGGAATTTTTATTGTTCAATAATTATGATTTTTTATTATAATAGTAATTATTTAACTATTATCATTTATAATCTGTTAAGCATGTCTTTTTAAAAACAATTGAGTGAAGTATAGTTATAGTTTAACAACCATTATTACAATTTAATCAAAAATAAAATATTAATTGATAATAATTAAAATACAATTTTAAATCCTAGTTTAAAACTGAAAACTAAAATTAAATTCCAGGAAAACAATGAACAATTTAAATATTTCTTACATCAAAACTGTTTTATGCATGTTGCAAGTTTCATCTTATAAAATAGAAAGAGAAAAGAGAAAGGAAAAGTATTTCAACAGAGATTCGACTGCGCGAATACGAATTTCAAATTTGAAAGTTACTTTCGTGTTCTACAAATTTAAAATGCAGAATCACATTTCACGTAATCGGACGCACTTTTATTTCTTACAGTATTAACGTATCTTAAAATATCTTGTTTATCTATCGATTCAGTTCTTATTGCTTTGCATTCATAGATATGTGTCGAATTGAAATCAATGATCACTGATCTAATTCCTTATCGTCCAATTTCTATGACGTTTACCTGCTGAGGTTGTTGTTTCATTATCGGTACTTTTTCCTCGACTATGTTTAATCCTTCGCACAATTTTTGGTCTACAGCATTGATCTGACCTTCGAATTTTTTGGTCAAAGATGCAGTCATAGGTGCAGCCGTGGAGGTTGCATAGTGCAGTCCAGCCTCAGCTTGAGTTAATGCCCAATTGACCAGATGATGCGAATCTTTCAGATAAGAGTATGTAGATTCGGTCTTCTCTATGGCCGAATGAATAACCGGGATATTTTTCACGCGATTAATCACTTCGAGATGTGGCACAGCGTCTGATGAAATGTTACTTGTGTTATCCCTAACGTCAGCCATTTTTCCTGCAAGATAAAGCGACCGGTTAGTAATTATATAATAAATTATACAATTATAAAACTAATATAATAGGAGACAATAATGCAAGTACATATATAAAATAAAATTGCAACCATAAATTAAATGCATATGATAATAACATATTGTAATTTTATAATTAATTTAGTAAATATATAATCCGTAAAAATAGAATAGGATGATTTTATGGTAACTCATTGTTAGTTTAATATATGGCATATTCGTCATGTCAAAAACTAAAATTTCTGCGTCAAAATTGGAATTTTATAAAAATTTTAA